GCCCAAGGATGCGCCTCAAACATGATCACTGGCTGAGGCGAGAGGATCACCTGAGGTCTAGAGTTTTAGGCCAGCCTGGGCAACAAAGTGAGACCTCCATCTTCATAAAACATTTTTTTAAATTCGTTGGGCATGGTGGCACATGCCCAGTTACTTGGGAGACTGAGGTGGGAGGATCACTTGAGCCCCAAAGTTTAAGGCTGTAGTGAGCTAGGATTATGCCACTGCACTCTAGCCCAGTAATAGAGTGAGGCCCTGTCTAAAAAAGCAAGAATAAAAAAAAAAATAATTATTGGCCACCATTTCTCCCAGCTTTTTAAAGGATTAGAATTTTCCCTATTGTTGCAGCTGAATAAATTGCATCTTTAAGGTCAAAAGAAATTTGAAGCCCTTCCACTTTCCAAGGAGTTTTTAAAAGCAAAACATACCCATCTCTTCTGCCTTCTTACGAGGGGTATTTTTTTAATCTGTTGGGGAGACTCTTGCTACTGAAACTGACCCCAGTTAGTCTATCAGCGCAGGTAGAGAGAACTAGAGGACCACAGGGATTTTCCAGGTTTTCTTTTGCAACCAAAAAGTCATGGGGAATTCCAGAACAGAAGATGCTGGCTAATCAGACCTCCACTGGACTGAAGGAATGTTAACACAGCATACAAACAGTCTCCATACAGCACTGGGCTGCATAGTTCAGATCTTTCTGGTTCTACCAGGGAATGCTTTTTGCAGAGTTATGGCTCCTCATGACCCTCCAGGTTGTTAGAGCAGATTAGAGCTCACGATGACTCTGCTGATGAGCAGATGGTATTCTCTCTCTGAAACAGCGGGAGAAGCCTGGTGGTGATGGTGGGGTTGTTGATTCAGGGCCTCAAGAACTGCTAGAGTCATTGTTGATCCCTTGATTTCTCTCCCTCCCTATGAGGAATCTGTTTGTAAATGCTGTCTATCTTGGAAATATATCAAGAATCCACTGTCTATCTTGGAAATATATCTAGGATCCAAACACTTCTCACTACCTCCCTTACTCCCACCATAGCCCAAACTGTCATAATCTCTGCTGAAACAGCCTCCAATAAGGTCCCCCAGCTTCCAACCTTATTGTCTTATTAGTCTGCGCATCCTTGCCACCTTATAAGCTACATCATGTCCAACCAAAACTCCATAAACACTTCCCTTCTCACTTAGAATACAGATCTGGAGCCCTGACCATTGCCCCCTCCTGCCCCTCCCTCATGAGCTGCCCTCTTCCCTTTGCCTGTCTGGCCCCTCTCCTCTGGCCTCCTTGAGTTCACGTGCTCGCTCTGCTCCAGCCTCGCTCGCCACCTTGCTTGTCCACAAACCCTCCCATCCCAGGACCTTACACTTGCTCTTCCCACGGGCAGGACTATTTGTCCTGCAGAGAGCCCTGCGACGCCCTCCCTCCTTTCCCCAAGGCTGTGCCTAACCACCTCAGCAGAGAGGGTTTGCTGGCCACCCCACCTCGGCCACTCTCTGACCTCTTCCCATCCTCTATTTTTCTCAACATTTGTTACCATCTGACATCTTTATTTGTTCATGGGTTTCTTGTCTGTCTCTCCAACTGGAATGTAAGCTCCATGAGGCGGAGACCCTGTCGGTTTTAATCAACACTGTGCTGTCAGAACAGTGCCTGGTCCATCGTGGGGTCTCCACAGGCAGCTGCTGAAGCAATAAATGAGTAAATGAAAAAAGAAGGCTCAGCAGCTCTGCAAGCTGTGAGTGAGTGAACCACTTGGCAATCAGTGTTTGTTCACGCGACATCTTGCTATTTGCTTCACAGATAGGTAAAAGGGGCCTAACGAGTCTAGTTCTCAGAGTCAAGTCAGAATAAATTCACATCCAATGGTATTTTTCTGGAAAATAACGTCTTTGGATTTATTCCACAAACTAAAAGACAGAAAGAGTTCAATTCTTTTAGACTTCAATCTAATTTCTGAACCCTGACTGTGTGGGCCTCCGGAGCAGGCCTAACTCACAGGACAGGCTCCCTGTAGCTGGCAGTGTGACTGCCAGGCTCACTGCCAGCTACGGGGAGTGGGGTAGGGTGGGGTGTGGGTGGTAACTGTGAAGTGCGGGGGGCTGCCTGTGGCTCAGGGGCCGGAGTTCATCCTGAGTCATCTCCCGGCCACAGGAAATGCCCACAGCCGCACTCTCCTGGACTCAATGCCAGGCCTGGCTCCTGACCAGCAGGCCCAGCTTCCCCTGAATGGCCAGGCAACATGTTTTGTTTCATTTTGTTTTTAAGTGATTTGTACTGACTTCAAAGCAGAGAAAGATGGTGCGATCCAGGACCACATCTTTGTCTCATTTTTGGTGGCCAGAGATCCACAGGATAAGCAACAAACAAACCCAAAAGGAAATCACTAGACACAGAGCTAGAGCTAGAACCATAGTCCTGAGATAGAGAGGCAAACATTTTTTTCAAGTTCCTTCTGGAATTTCACTTCTTGTTGGCATCTTTTTGATGATTCTTTGTACATCTCTTATCTACCAGGAGGTGGTTTGCAGGGTGATTCTGAACTCAGGTGGGAGGGTAGTGGCCTGTCTCCAGGGCCCTGTTTTCTGAGCAGTGAGGTGATCTTGGGAAAGTTGTGTAGCTTTTCCATGCCTCAGTTTCCTTATCTGGTAAATGAAAGTAGAATAGTCCCTATTTTATTGGGGCCTTGTGAGAACAAAATAGGGCCACCCTAATACAATATTAAATGATACCTGGCACTTGGTAAGTGCTCACTAAAACGAGCAAGAATAAACACGTGTCCCAAGTGAAATCAAAGGAGGGTTTACAGGAAACTGAGAGAGCTTCAACCCAGGCTCCAGTGTGCACAGGTGCCTCGGAGTATCTGGGAGCTGTGGGTGACTCCAGGTGGGATGGAAGCCAGATTACCATGGGGAAGTGTCTTTTAGAAAGCATTTCTGGTGAACTGCCTGAGGTGATGTTAAGAAACAAAGAGACTGGAATTTTCAAGCTTTCAGTAATTTGTTGTCATGGGTTTTTCCCCCTCACTTGAAATAAATATACACTTTCATGCATGGTTTATTTCCAGTTTTGCATTTCTTTCTTTTTTCTTTCTTTCTTTTTTTTATTTTTTGAGAGAGAGTCTCGCTCTGTTGCCCAGGCTGGAGTGCAGTGGTGCAATCTTGGCTCACTTCAACTTCTCCCCCTGGGTTCAAGTGATTCTCCTGCCTCAGCCTCCCAAGTAGCTGGAACTATAGGCATGTGCCACAATGCCTGACTAATTTTTGTGTTTTTTGTAGAGACGGGGATTCACCATGTTGACCAGGCTGGTCTCGAATTCCTGACCTCAAATGATCCATCTGCTTCAGCCTCCCAAAGTGCTGGGATTACAGGTGTAAGCCATCACACCTGGCCTGTGTTTCTTTTCTTAAAGAAGGCCTCCCAAATGGTATAATCTTTAGGCCCCACAGAACCTGGACTCATCCCAAAATGGTGTAATGAAATCTTCACCATATTCCTGAAAGGTGGAGATTATCTCTCTTTCATAGTCTAAAAACTAAAGTGTTGAGAGATAAACACTCTCGCCACAGATAGGAGGACCTGGCAGGACTGCAATTTGAACCCAGGACTCCCTACATCCAAAACCAAACTCTTCCCACTACACTCAGCTTCCTCCCATTATGGGCATCATGATGGCTTTAAAAAGTAAGTGCCAGATTCAAATGGATATCCCTACACCAATGTTCATCGCAGTACTCTTCATAAAGGCCAAAAGCTGGAAACAGCCTGAACATCCATTGACAGACGATTAGGCCATCAAAATGTAGTATATCCATACAGTGGAATATTATTCAACCTTTAAAAGGAAGGAAATGCTGACACATGCCACTACATGGATGAACCCCAAAGACATTATGCTAACATGAAATAAGCCATTCTCACAAAAGGACAAATATATGATTCCACTTATGTGACGCACCTGGAGTAGTCAGACTCATGGAGGCAGACAGTAGAATGCTGGGTGCTGGGGGCTGGTGGAGGGGAAATGGACAGTTACTGTTTAATGGGTGAGGAGTTTCAGTTTGGGCTGATGAAAAAGTTCTGGAGATGGTCGGTGGTGAGGATGGCACAACAGTGTGAATGCTCTTAATGCCACCAAATCATATACTTAAAAATGGTTAAAACGGTACATTTTATGTTATGTATATTTTACCAAAATAAACAAAAAAGGAAACCCCAGCCTAGAATGTAAGGCCTAGGCCACAAAACATTTCTTTAGCACTTAGCAGCCTGTGGGCATTGTGAACAAGGATGACAGGAAAGTGTTAGACATCCTTCTTTAAGGGAATCTTTCTGAAGGTCGCAAAAAATGGAACAAATGTATCTACTTCCAGGTTGCTTGCTCCCCCTGTTATGCACAACCACAAGTCAGCCACAGAATTCTGCAAACAACCCACTGTGCAAGGCGTCACACTCAGAGGTACCTCACAGTGAGACCCACAGACAAAGCAGCCATTTACCTTGCCTTCTTTTAGCTACTCACAACGAAACGTTTTCACAAAAAGACACCTGGAGGTGGAAGACTTGCTACCGGTACTTGAGATGAAGCAGGTAGCACAGCAAGGCCCGCCCAAGAGCAGACAGCCGTGACTAAAGTCCCCAGGTTTCCAGTTGATTCCCAGGCAGGTTGACTCAGGGTTTCCTCTCCCAGGAGTGTTGTAAGGTGCCCCGGGGCAGGCCCAGCTGGGGCCTGGACTGTCTTTATTTGATATGGATGAATGGCTGGCTCTGGGAGAGACTCAAGCTAACTGCAGTGACTCAGACACCGGTTCACTAGCTTCCTGAAGTCAGAGCACCGCCGAGGACAGCCCATTTCTAAGTCTCTGAAGTCAGAACCAGCGGAGGGACAGAGTGCAGAAGTTCTGCATCCCTGAGCTCCGAGCTGCTCTGTCTACGCCTGTGCTGCTTAGCCGAGGCCCCTTGAGGAGGGTCAGACTCCCAGATGGAGTCACAGCCCCCAGGCTGGGGCTCTGAGCAAACCGGATGGTAGGATTCTATCTGATGAGCCTGACCAGCCTGTCTGAAAATGTGGATGGTATGACAGAACCTTTGGATGTTAAGGAATGTAATATCCTCTCAACCACCCACAAGTAATGGGAATTTGCTGTAAGAATACACATTACTTTAAAAGAGACGGGATCCTGGGGAAAATTAAGAGCGAGGCCTCTGAGAGATCCAAGCTGGATGGGCATTTGGGATCCATGGCAGCTGTAGGCCTGGACCATGCTCCTTCCCCCCGGCAGAGTGAGTTTGTAGATCTGACTCTAGCACTGTTCAGTTTGTGTGGCTGAGGGCCATTCTTTGCTGATTGCATATTGGTCCTCTCATCTCCCACCCCATGTAGCTTTCTTCTGCCTTGGGATTCTGCCTCGGGCTTCTGCCTCTATGTAGCTGCCGAGTCCTCCTAACATTGACTCCAGAAGCACCTGGTTCCCTCCAACCTTATGCGCTCTCTCCATACATCCTGCCAGCCTCACCTTCCATTATCAAACTCCTGATTTTCCATTTCTATTTCCCATTTCAGATTCTACATACACAGAAACAGAGGTAAGTAATCCAGTTGGCATGGCTAAGGAGACACAGTTGTCATTTGGGGGACTTTACAGGATGCTGGCATCTCATGAATTGACAGCTCACCGAACAGGCAGGGCCGCCACCCTCCACAGCAGTGTGGATGTGGTACTTTCCAAAAGAGGACAGCAGGCACCCCACTCAGGAAGCAAGGCTATGTCTCCCCAGTGTCTTGCCCCTTGGTACAAATTAGCCAGCAGTCCCAAGGTGCAAACAGAGTGGATAGATATTCTTTCATAACATTATTCTACTTTATATTGTCTCAAATTCCCCCCTGCCTTTTCTTCACGCTGCATTTTAAGCTTTTTCTCAGTTTTCAGCACAACCCAAGCAGGGAACACATTTTCCCTTTCCTGATTGTATTATTTACCTTCCTAAACCATTCATTCATTTACTTATCTATTTACTCAATATCCATGAAGTACCTGCTTTGTAACTGGTGAAATACTAGACAATGAAGACTTAAAATTCATGCATATTCTCAATATAAACATTAATTGACTACTTACAAAGTGCCAGGCATTGTGTTACTTGCTGGGAATAGAAAGATTACTGAGACACAGTTGCTGTCTGGTACATAGCAAGAATTGAATAAATATTTGTTGAGTAAAGGCAAGTATTTTGACAATTACAAGCAGAGCAAAAAGGGCTATCTTGGGGAATGTCCACAGGAAGAGAGGCCTAGAGAAACCAAAAAGTGTTTCCTGCAGACACTAATGTTTACACTGCGACCTGGAGGGCAAGCTGAATTAGCCAAGTGAGAGGCATGAGAGGGAACCCAAGGCATGCAGGAAGAACAAATGGTTTGTGCGAAGGCTTGAAAATTAGGGAGGGTGTGCATTGGAGGGGCAGTCATGGGGGACAGAGAATAAATAAATCAGTGTGATTATGATTCTAGGACTGATATGGAAGTCTTTATGTGGAATGGCACAAGTCCATTTAAATACATGGTCAAATCATGGTTTTGGAGTTCTCCTAGGACCTTGTTGCTACCTGCATCTGGTTGTCAGAGGGACATGAGGATGGTCTAGAAGGGGTATGTACCACTTCCACTCACATTCTGTTGGCAGATCCTGGTGGTTGGGATTTTCTTAGCTGCAAAACAGGCCAGGAGAAGTAGTCTAACTGTGTTCCCAGGAAGGAAAGATTGTTGGTGGCAGCTAGAACCATGGAGAGTTTCCAGGGAGTGGCATATCCAGAGCTGGGCAGCCATCCCGATCCAGCTCCTGTAGAGTGCCTGCTCTTGGCTGACAGGAAGGTCTGTGGGCAGACAGACAGCTCAGGACCTGGGGAAACCTCTGGAGCCCAGGGCAGCACTTGTCAGTCCAAGGCAGTCTTGTGGGATGTAAAATCTTTTCTTCCAAAGTGAGGTTTGAACGTTGCGCATTCAGTCTCTAGACAGAGGTGGATATTGAGTAGGAAATTGACAAGAACTATGAAGGGCCTGAGCTTTTACCTGACTTGCAAGCTGACAAGTTAGCTTGTCATGGATTCGTGGGTACTGATGGAGACATGTGATGCCTGGGTCACAGAAAAAGAACTTTTTAATTCACAGCAATCGCAGTGGTCAGAGTGCCAGCACATTCTTTCACCAGTTCCCCAATACCATTTCCCACAAGATGGCACAAAAGAAAGAGGTGACACCTGCACATGTAGTAAGATGTGTTGTAAGAGAAGAACTTTGAGTTTAGGGAAGCTGAACCTTTTATAATGGGCAGTAAAACAGGCCTACTCTTTGTTCTGGAGGTTGACACTGTTTCTAATTTTTCCTTTTCCCTAAAGAGGGACACTATCTCTATTTTCAAAGGCTGTTCACCTTATAAACATCCTGGAAAAGACAGTCCAGAAAAAAGGCAGCCAGGGCCTCTGCTTGTAAGATGTGCAGAAATGTGAGAAACACTTGAATTTGTCTTCCAACAAAGACAGGTTCCTCTTTAGCAAGATGGAGTGTTCTTTAGATAGAAGCTTCGTTTACTAAATCCTTCTCCTCTTGATCTCTAGCTATCTAGAGGCCCCAGGGCTCCGTCCTCAGAGCTCTTCCCTGCATACATTCACTTCCTGGAGGGATCTCATTCAGCCACATATCTCTGAACACCATCAGCCTCATATCTTTAAATCCGTGCTGATAATCCCAATTTACAATTTGCACTTTGACATTGCCCCCATTTCCAGACCTAGATATCAAACTGCCTATGTGGCATCTTAACTTGGTTATCTTCTAGCCATCTCAAACTTACCGTATTCTTGATCCTCATCCTCCACCTGAAACCTGATTGTTCCTCAATGTAACCCCTGTCAGTAAAATGTATCACTCAGGCAGTAAAATATATCTGTGCCAGCTAGAAACCTCTTTCTTTCATATTCACATCCAATCTATCAGCACAGTCCAGTTTCGAAATAGATCTTGAATCTGATCACCCTTCTCCTCCTGCACCACCAGCATCCTAGTCCCAGCCACGATTGTGTCTGTTCTTGACAGAGACATGTGTTCCTGTCTTGCCCCATTCACCTTCCAATCTTGCCCCATACATTCTAACTGCCTCAGCAGCCAGTGTGGTTCTTCTAAAATGTAAATTAAATAATATTATTTCTCTGCTTTCAACCTTCCAATGATACACAAGGCATAGAATAAAATTCAAGCTAAAGACTACATATGATCTGACCTCTGCCCCCAAATCTGATCACCCTCTCTCTCCCTTCTTGTATTCCACTTGCCCTTGAAAACACCTGCCATTGGGCTGTCTCAGGCCTTCATACTTAGCTGTGTTGCCAAAGTCATCTAGGGCTCTCTCAGATACCAGTTGGTCAGGGAAACCCTCCCTGACTATTCTAAAGAAAATCGCACACTCCCTCGCCCCTCTTTCCTTTTACCCGGACTTACTCTGATTCATAGCCCTGGGCACTGCCTGATTTTAGGAGTCTATCCCCTGCACTGCCCTCCAGCCGAGAATATATGCTGCCTGGATCCAAAAACTTGGTTGTGTCCACTGATGTAGCCTCTGCTTCAAAAATAATATTGGACACAAAGTAAATGTCCAAGAAGTACTTGTTGAATGAATGGATAATGAATGAATAATAGTTAAGACGGGATTTTTAAAATGACAATAACAGAGACACAATTTGTGGCTCGATCTTTCTTCTTCAAGATAAATCAACTAATTTTATATAAATTTTCTCCCAAAATGCACATCTTCCAATTATTCATAATTCTGGATTGTTACTGCAGAATTCTTGCCATGTTTTTCCAGCTTCTTGGATATGATGGAGTTCAAAATTGAACATAACATAGGCTTCTGAGAAAAGCCTAGGTAGTCTATAATTAGTTTCTCTCTTTCTTTGGTTTTTATTTTAAAAATTATTTTATTTTAGTTTTTATTTTTGTGGGTACATAGATATTTATGGGGTACATGAGATGTTTTGGTACAGGCATGCAACGTGTAATAAGCACCTCAGGGAAAGTGGAGTATCCATCCCCTCAAGCATTTCTCCTCTGTGTTACAAACAACCCATTCATAGTCTTTTAGTTATTTTTAAATGTACAATTAAATTATTGTTGACCATAGTCCGTTTCCCTCTGTTTACAGGTTTCACATGCTTACCTAGTAATGCTCCTTGAAAAGATTATCTCCTCAGACATAAGCCCGGCCACAGAAAAGTCTCTCTAAGGTCAGCAGTTTCGAGAGTGACGAAGTGAGAATTTGATTCTTATCTGTTCACAGACTCTACGAATCCCAAAACACCCTCCTGAAGAACACATTGGGGGAAAAATACAAACAACCTTATGGATTTAGCCATAGATCATAGGTCATAGGTCAAGAGTTAAATTGTCACTCTTTCACTCAACAAATAAATATCTCCTATGTGCCAAATCATGAGCCAGAAGTTGGAACAGCACATTGTGAAAAGAACTTGGTCCCTAGCCTGAGGGATTCAGAATCTTGGGCACCATCATTTCTGTTTTCATCATTGTTGTCATCAATGTCTTTTGACACAGTCTTATTTTGATCTCCTTTGGTTTTTGTATATTATGATTATTTCCAATATCATTTTAAAATAGGAATTTCGTACTTACGGAAAAATATATGCCATCTAATTTGAAAAATAAGGAAACAGTGCTTTGCTTTCCCTAGCCTGCCTTCTCATTTACTGTAAAATAATAATTTTTCTTTTTCAGGGTTCATTTCAATTTTTTGAAAAGGGTTTAGCAATGAAATACAAAAATCTCAGTTATTTTCATTAAGCTCATTTTTTACTTTCCCCACATATAGGCTATATGCTTTATTTAATATCTTTATTCTTTACATTAAGTTAAAATTATTTTAGAAATGACTATTTCAATTGCTGTTTTGACATTTCATTGATCAATATTTCACTAAAGATAATAACTTTCTCTAGGATGCAGAGAGACTCATATAACTTACACCAGAATTTCCACTGAATGAATTTCCCCACCTTCTTGGTGATTGTACACCTGCCTTCCTTATAAGGCGAACAAGGAAGTAAATCATGTTGAAGTTGCTTTTAAACACAGCTTTTCTGCTTTACCTGTCCAGGTAGCCTCTGTTTTCATTTCAGTCTTAATGAAAACTTTCTAACTTACATCTCAAGTTTCTTTTCAAAGCAGTGTAAGTAGTATTTAAAATGTTACACTTCAAGAAAGAAAGACTTTAACGATATTCAGCTTTGGTCTTGTAACGCTGAAGGTAATTCATTTTTTAATCGGTCTGCACAGCAAGAACTGAAGCGAATGGGGATTGAACTGCTTTGCCTGTTCTTTCTATTTCTAGGAAGGAATGATCACGTACAAGGTAAGACCTACGTTCTCCGATATATTGCTTTCGTGGTATGCTTGACAAACTTGTCATTTGGTTCAGAAACTAGATCTGAAGTCATGTTTTATTTGATCTGTTCCATTGCTCTTTTGTCACTGAGTGAACGCTTTAACAAATTACAGACAAACACCGGGCAGTTCCCACAATGAATGCTCTAGGCTTAAGGTAAATAAATACAAAGGTTGCACAGGCATTTTAATGAGGAGAATTAAATAACATTGCTGCCCAATGGAACTTAGTGCCACTGTGATAACCATTTTTGAAACTTTTCTATTTTATTCTACCACAAGATCTTCCACTTAAGAGTAATAATCTTGAAAGAGAGAAAGGATTTATTTCAAAAACAGAAATACCTCGTTTAAGAAAGAAGCATTTTTTAATGGGTGCATGTAATTTTTAAAAATTAAGGTGGAACAATAAATAGGATAATCCTATATTTGTGAACTTTCACATTTTAAGAAAAAAGAGGATGATAATTTTGGCTTATAAGACATACATACTTTTTAATACACATACACATATTTTACATGTGATAGATGTAAAATACAAACTTTTATGTGAATTGCTAACATTTCGAGGACTGATCTTGGATACTAAACTAAACTTTGATGTTGTTTTGTTCAAGTAATGTAAGAGCCATCAGTCTCATAAATGGAATGACTGAAAGTATACTTAATCCCTGCGTCTTGCTGGGTCTAAACCTAGGTGGCTGTGCCCTGGGAGGTGCAGAAACCTGTGAAGACTGCCTGCTCATTGGACCTCAGTGTGCCTGGTGTGCTCAGGAGGTAAAATAAACGACCTCAACATGTTTTTAAAACCTGTCTGCAGTTACACTCATGTTAATTTCCTCAGTGATAGTTCTGATAGTGAATTGCTTTTTTGTGGAATTGTATGAGTAAAACAAATCAGGAAAGGAGAAGGTGAGCATTGGTAGATCAAAATGGCATTCATGTGATTACTTTCAAAAACAATTTGTAGAAGGAGTGGATGTCAAATTATTTGGAAAAATATGTAACTTGGGATTTTTAATTTTACCTCACTCCTTCTCTTATTGTAAAGCCATTTCTAACTGGTTGCGTATAAAATATGGAGGCTGTCTGGATAATCAGAGATCATGGAGATGGATTTTCTAAAGTTAAACATACATTTGATGTTCATATCATAGTTGTATTCCATCTGGGTACTAGGATCCATTCTGAACTACTGCTAGGTTCTGAGGGATGTGTTTTAAGTTTGGGGCAAATATTACTGGTCAGGCATTATCCAGTTCTTTTAAAAATGGCATTTTCATAAACTCAGTGACTCTGTACCATGCCAGTGACAAAGTTCCAAATAGGCACTCCTTATCTGGTCAAACTGAAAACTATGTGAAATCAGTGTGAAGATGATCGGGGAATATCTACCAAGCCATTCTAAGACACTAGAGAGTGATGTCTGACTGATTCATGGTGAGAAAGACAGGCATTAGCTTTCTGAATTTTAAAACAAGTCTCTACCCACTGGATCTCATAAAGATAATCTAAACATAAATCAAATCATACAAATACCAAGTTCAGCGAAACCTCAACACCTCAACACCAAACTCAGAACTGGGTTCTACCTGTGGAAACCCAAACTCTGAGTTCAGTGTGTATCCATGAAGACATGAGAGCACAAACGTAGCTCAGTCCCCTACCAGAGCCTTGACCGACGCGACCACAAACAAAAGTCCAAGAGAATTATGCCTTTTTTTGAGTTCCTGTATCAAAGCAGGATTGAGAATATACAAGGAGGGAAAAATTCACATGTTTTTGGGTATTGACTTCCTGAAGAAGTATTAGTTTCATGCCAGAGAGATAAAATAACAAATCAGCCTAGAATTTTCATTTAAATGCATTTTTCAGCATTTAGTTAAGAGAGTTTCCTAAGTTGCTGCTGATAACTTTACTTGTGGATAATACTTGGTAGCCAAATTGTTGTCAAATTGTAAAGCCAAATTATTCTAAGAGGCCACTCTAATATTAGAAGTAGTTATGAGGATGCCAGTTGAGGCAGTTGGAGCAAAAAGTAAATTAGGCTTCTGCTTAGGGCAGATAGAAAATAGGTCATGTGGTTAACACCACCTCTGATCTTTTGGCAAAGGCTATGACTAGAGGGATAGCAATGACACTGTGTTGAGAAGGATTCTAAAGCCTTGGCCAGCCACTGTTTCCCTTAGTGACATCATGGGAAGTTACAGTTTGCCATGCCTGGCCTAGAGCTTCAGACATGCACAGGCCTACTGATTGATAACAAATTGTATTCTCAAAATCAATTTCAGAAGAAATCTAACTTTCCTAGCTGATGAAAACAGCAAGAGTGGCTTGGAGTTCTAAGAGGCAAGGAAAATAGTGTGAGCATTGGTTTGGTTTTCTCTAAGCATGAGAGTCAATGGGCAACAAGTTCCCCTTTGCGTAGTGTCATGCCCGCCCTAGAGCAGTCGTGCCTATCAGGTAAGTTAGGTATTTAATCTGTTAGCTCCATCTCCCTGTTTTGGGCGTTCCAGAATTTGAATGACCACATCTCTGCTGCGAACGACTTCATCTCACTGTACCTCTGCTATCCTTGTGGAACTCCTGTGTCCCACACAGAAAAGCAGACTTTTAACCCATCTTTTTCACTTTTCTTCCTCACTTTCAAATCTTGGAGAAAGTTCTAAAGGATCTTGAACTAGAATGCTTCAAGACTCTGGGTTTAAAGTCCACAAGAGGTCAATTTTGGTGAAGTCATGCTGCACTATAAGGGTAACAGACCAGTGCATACAACTGGCAGAGAGTGCTAGATGGGGGAGATGTTGCAATCCCTACCCTTTAGGAATCCTCAGGATCTCTCTTTATCACTAGATTTAGGGATTGACACTGGAGCACTTGGACAGTGTGTCAATTCCCAAATCTAGTGATAAAGATTTGATTGTGGAATCAAACCTACAGGTCAGCCTGAGCAGATAAATTCATGGAATGATGTCAACTTTATGAATCCAACTGTTTCAAGGATCTGGTCATGGCCTGGGAAGAAGCTTTAAAGAAGTGACCTCAAGACCTCCCCCACACTCCCTCCTACCCACCACCCCCAAAATTGTTACATGAATTCAAGTGAATATAATTGAAAGGAGACTCCAGTTTTACTCAGAATTTTACTGGCAGAATTCTCTGGTTATTCACCTATAACTTAACTTTAGACCTATAATCAATGTTAGTCATGTAGGGATACAATATGATAAGATGCTTAACTAGCAAAGTGTGCAGAAAAACTTTCAATTGCTGGTATCTTATAAAAGAAATTCAGATTTGTTTTCTTTTTCTGGTTATTGTTTTTCTTTTTCTTTTTTAGAATTTTACCCGTCCATCTGGAGTTGGTGAAAGGTGTGATACCCCAGCAAACCTTTTAGCTAAAGGATGTCAATTAAACTTCATCGAAAACCCTGTCTCCCAAGTAGAAATACTTAAAAATAAGCCTCTCAGTGTAGGCAGACAGAAAAATAGTTCTGACATTGTTCAGATTGCACCTCAAAGCTTGATCCTTAAGTTGAGACCAGGTATGTTAGGATTTGGCTCATGTAAATAGATCTAATGTTATATATGGTAATTCTGCTACCCCACTAATGTGTCTTGTATCATATTACATATCATTGATTATTATGACTCGAATTTCCCATTCTTAAGGAAATCGAAAATTGCTAGGCTCACACATTTCTTTATTCACATCGGTCCCTGGCACTCCAATTGTGTTACTGAAGAAGCCATCTCTAATAGTAACCATTTAAATTACTCAAATGTTGTTAACGCTTACCTCACATTTCTTCAAGGATTGTAATGTAGATTTAAACTCTCTTTTATTTGGTTCCCCTTTTCTAAAACGACACACAAAAAATTCAGCTTATCTTCTATCTAAATGGATGCTAGTTCTCCCAAGGAGATATAAAATATCCTAACTTATTCTCCAATAGTTCTAAACTCACTGCAGAAAGAATTTCATGGGTTGGTTCATTTAGTATCTTAACCACACAGTTAACGAAATCCTATGTATTTCAGTAAGTTCTTATTGAGGTGAAATAGCCAGCTGACCCAGCAAGTGGCCAGTTGCAAATAAATCTCAGTGTGTTTTCCTGGGTTTGCTTTTCCTATTGGGCTTTGCAGGTGGTGCGCAGACTCTGCAGGTGCATGTCCGCCAGACTGAGGACTACCCGGTGGATTTGTATTACCTCATGGACCTCTCCGCCTCCATGGATGATGACCTCAACACAATCAAGGAGTTGGGCTCCCGGCTTTCCAAAGAGATGTCTAAATTAACCAGCAACTTTAGACTGGGCTTCGGATCTTTTGTGGAAAAACCTGTATCCCCTTTTGTGAAAACAACACCAGAAGAAATTGCCAACCCTTGCAGGTAAGTAAATGATTCTCTTGGCATCTATGTGCGCTGATTTTCTATGGAGATACTCCTGCTCTGAGCTGCACTTGCCAGGAGCTTGCTAACTCCCTGGCATTTCTGCCTCGTCTGGTTGGATCTCAGCAGTTCTCTCAGAGGCCTAGGTTGCTTGGAGTGAGGTGAGATCATCTGAACTACATGGTTCTAGCCGTGGGTCCTTGTGGCCTCTGCATTTGCCTCCCAGTGTAGGGCAGGATGTGGCAAACCAGAATGTGTGTTATGCATGCAAGGGAACCAAGGCTTTCACCATAGGCTCCATTGGATGGTGCCCAGTCTCAGTCTCTCAGACACTTTCTAGCCTCAATGGCCACCACTTTCTGAGGTTATTTGAAAATAACCTTCACTTTCCGAGAGTCTTTCTCCATGACAATGACTTCTGGCAAAATAATAATTTTTGCAACTTTTTCTGACATACTCTGGGAAATATTGGTTTCTCTTATTGCTTGGAGAAGGCATGCAGCCTTCACTGCTATTAAATTCAGTAGTAAATGACTCCATAGGCAATGACTCCATTCTAATATGCTATAATAAGCTATTAAAAACCACATATTATGCAGGTGATGGTGGAGGACAAATTGCTTTGTGATGGCTTATCTGTGCGGTGAAAACATGTTCAGAATCAAATAGTTTCCTATTGAAAAAGGGCTACCATATGCTCTGTCCCAGACCTTATGCTGAAGGTTTTACATGCATGACCTCATTCAGTCTTCATAATAACAGCAGGTTAAACAGCAGGTTAAAGCTAGCTTAATAACATCAGCCCTACACTCAGAGGAAGTGAGGCTCCGAGAGATTAGCTATTTGCCCAAGGCCACATGACTAATCCATGATCTGTACCGAGATTTGATTTGTCCCAAAAGCAAGCCCATTACTGCTATATATCTAGTTTATATGAAATAATTTTCCAAATGTTTATTAACTTATAATACTTTTATACACCAAAGGCATCAATCTCTATAAAAGATAAACAGCTTTTATTATACCATTTAAAAAACATCTCAGTATAGTTCCCAACTACAATCTAACATAATCAAAAATAATTTAACCATAAAAGAAATTTATCAGTGATTGTAACACTTAGAAATTGTGTTTGGTTGCGAGTGTCTGAGACAGTGGCATAAAAAAGAGTATTTTTGTTTTTTGTGTTTTGTTTTGTTTTGAAATGGAGTTTCATTCTGTCACCCAGGCTGGAGTGCAGTGGCATGATCTTGGCTCACTGAAACCTCTGCCTCCTGGGTTCAAGCGATTCTCCTGTGTCAGCCTCCCGAGTAGCTGAGATTACAAGTGCCCGCCACCATGCCTGGCTAATTTTTGTATTTTTAGTAGTGACTGGGTTTCGCTATGTTGGCCAGGCTGATCTCACACTCCTGACCTCAAGCGATCTGCCCCGCCTGGCGTCCCAAAGTGCTGGGATTACATGCGTGAGCCACCACGCCTGGCCAATATTTTCTTTTCTCTTTTGCATGAAATACAGAGAAAGGCCATTCAGTGGTGATATGGCAGATCCGTAAACATGAGGAATCTAGGACATTTTCTGCTCTCTGCTTCACCATTATTGACACTTGGATTTTATCTTCATGGTCCAAGAATGCTGCCACGGCACTGATCATTACTTCTTCATTTCAGTCAGAAGGAAAGGAGGAAAATAGTGGCAATAAGGGCACTGTCTGCCCACTCCCTCACAACTCCTTTTCATGTATAGTTGACATGCCTAAAATGCACAGATCAAAAATGTTCAGTTTGATGTGTTTTGATGGTTAAATATACCATTGCAATCAATATCCAAAACATGATGTAGAATATGTCCATCACCTCAGAAATTTCACATTACAGTTAGTTCTACCACTTCAGAGGCAACCACTTTCTATTTCTATAATTTATATTGGTTTTGCCTATTCCTGAATTTTGTATGAATATATAATGTAGTATATGCCCTATGTTTTTGGCTTCTTTGGTTCAACATAATGTTTTCAAGATTTACCTATGATTTCGTATGTATCAGGAGTTTGCTTCTTTTTGTTTTAATTAATAATCCATTGTATATATTTACTACATTTTGTTTACTCATTCTTTCATTGGTGGACATTTGGGTTGTTTCTATTTGGGGGGATTATTATGAAAAGGCTGCTATGAACACTTGTGTAGAAGTCTTTGTATAGATGTATGCTTTTATTTCTCTATAATAGACACCTAAACTGGAGTTGCTGAACTATATGATACTTATAATTTTTAAAGAAACTACCAAATTGTTTTCCAAAGTGAACGTACCATTTTGCATTTTCTTCAGTAGTGTGACAGGGTTCCAGATATTCCACATCCTTACTGACACTTGGTGTTGTCAGTTTTTTAAATTTTAGCCATTCTAATAGGTGTGGGGTAGCATCTCATTGTAGCTTTGATTTGCATCTCCTTAATGATGATGTTGAACATCTTTTCTTGTGTTTATTTGCCATTTTTATTTCTTATTTCGTGAAGTTTCTTTTCAAATCTTTTGCCCATTTGTTTAAGATTAGACTGTCTTTCCAATATTGTGTGGTAAGAGTACTTTTTATATGCTGGATACAAGTTTTTGTCAAATATATTTTGCAAAAAAATGTATATTTTTGTCAAAAATATTCTCTCCCAGTGTATGGCTTGTATTTTAATTTTTCTGGCAATACCTTTGGTCAAGCAAAAGTTTGTAATTTTGATGAAGTTCAGCTTATTAATTTTTAATTTTATGGTTACTGTATTTTATGTCTTAAGAAATTTTTGCTTACCGTAAAGGTCACAAAGACTTCTGCTGTATTTTCTTCTAGAAACTTTACGGTTAACGTGCTTACATTTAGGCTTCTGATCTCGAATTAGCTTTTGTATTTGGAATGAGAAAAAAAGGTCTAGGTTCATCTTTTGTTTCCGTAGAGATATCTAGTTGTTCAAGCAGTATTTGTTACACAAGATTTTCTTTTCCACATTGAGTTATCTTAATGTCTTTGTGGACAAGCAGTTGACCATGTATGTGTGAGGCTAATTCTGGACACTATTCTGTTTCATTGATCCATTGCGTATACCCATGTAACAACTAATGCCTCACTACCTCCCTTATTGTGGCTTTATAGAAAGTCTTGAAATCAGGACCATAAGTCCTCCAACTTTGTATTTTCATTTTGTTTATCCTAGATCCTTTGCATTTCCATATAAATTTTAGAATCATCTTGTCAATTTCTTTAAAAAATATGCTGAGATTTTTATTGAGACAACATTGAAACCATAGATCAATTGTGGGGATATTGAACAGCTTACACACATCGAATTTTCCAATCATTTTATATGACATATATCTTCATTTATTCAGACCTTGTTTAATTTCTCAGAGCAATGTTTTGTCATTTTCAGGGTAGATATCTTGCACATGTTTTGTTTTATTTATTTCTAGGGACATTTAAAATTTTTTATTTTCAAATTCTTTGTGGATAACATGTAGAAATGCAATTGATTTTGCATATTCACTTTGTATCCTGCAAACTTCATGAATTTTCTCATTAGTTCTAGTGTGATTTTTATAGATTCCTTAGAACTTTCTGTGTATATGATCATGTCATCTATGAATAACAACTTCTTTTTCCTCCAATATCTATGCTTCTTCTTTCTTATTTCTTGCCTTAATGCACCAACTTGGGTCTCCAGTACCCTTTTAAATAGATGTAGTAGGAGAGGACAATCTAGTCATGTTCATGATCTTAGGGAGAAAGGATCAGTGTTTTACCATTAGGTATGTTGTTAGCTAGTGTTTTTTCATTTTCTTTCATCAGATCAAGGAAATTATCTTCTATTCCTTGCTTGGTACGTTTTTTTAAAAAAAAAATTATAAATGGTTGTTAAATTTTATTTCCCCAACTTAAGAAGTTTTTGCCAGAAATTTTACTCAACACCTTAGACTTGCATCTCATTGGCTGGCATTTAGTTACATGACCACAGTTAACTATAAAGGAAGCACATTGCTAGTTGCTCCTCCAAAATCAGCATTCTGTTATTAGGGAAGAAAGAAAGATGGATACAAGGTGGCATCTACGAGCAGTTCCTGCAACACTGAATACATAGATTTCTATAAAAAGTTATAAAGACTTATACCCTCAAAAATGCTGTATAATAAAAAGTAAGGTATGATTATTGTTATTCATTGCTTGATTCACTTGTAAAGGGAAATAAGCTTGGTGCTAACAACCTCTTAACTATCTAACATAAAAGTATTGCTAATGGTTTTGGCCCCATTTTTAAAATCAGAGAATATTATTCCTGAATACAATTTGTATTTAGTTCTTTGGTATACTGTGTGTCTTGCCCCTACAATAAGCTTTCATAGAGAGTTTAGTAGGGCAATTCCATCTAGAATTACAAAGTGCCACCTCTGCCCCAGAGTGTATATTTAAAATCATTCCTCATGTCACAGATCAGGTACGATGTAGCAACATGCAGTACAATAATAATCATGGGAACCAATGAGTGTGGAATGTTACCAGAGAAAATAACTAAAATTAACAAGGTTGGATGGCTCAGCTAAACTGGCAGCCCAGCATCTTGAACTAACAATGAGACCCTGTCCTTAATCGGGCTTCAAGTAAATGAAAGCAGTTTGGCTCTTTATTTACCTCTGACTGCACTTTATTCATGCATTTATTTATTCATTCATTTGTTCAACAAAATTTACTGAGTTCCAACTATGTACCAAGCAATGTGCTAGGCATGAGTATTTTTGGAAGAAGAAGACCTAGTCCCAGTTCTCAAGTAGCTGAAATCCTTTGGGGAAGCAGGGACATGATATCGCATGGTGATTAAGCACAAGGGCTTTGGAGTCAGCCCTGGATTCAGTCTTGATTCATACATTCACAAATAATGTGACCTTGGGTGAATCATTTCATTTCTCAAGTCTTCAGTGTTTTCGCTGTAAGTCTAGAATAACAATGCCAATCACAAAGAGT